AAAGGAAGGATGATTTAATTACATTTCCAATAAAACCGCTCATTCAAGAAAGTATTCAGAATGAGACGAATAGCGAGTTGGCAAAGAGCGCCTAAATGGCTAGAATCAGTGGGACCGTGGCCTTAAAAAGGTACAGAAGCAAAATCGTAGCGCCTCTTTCTTTATGTAGACGTGGACTTGGCTGCTAACAAACACAAGTCTTTCATTCGTAAACCCAAGAAAAGCATTTCTAAAACGAATAAAACGATTTCCCAATAGAACCTGGTAGTTGGGGGAGGGGGGGGGGGGGGGAGCTTCGTTACAATGTGTCACGTCACGGGCCTGTCAGGAGCAGCGCCACGGCGCGGCGTGTCCGATGGAGGTGCCAGGGAACGAGCGGCGCTTGGCACGCCTTTCCGATCTACATAGTTTACCATACCTCGGGTACCCCACTTGGCGAGATTGTAACGCGTTGACGATAAAGCTGGCGCCAACTAGGGACAACGATCGTAATCACGGTATACCAGTGGCCGCTTATGGGACCGTGATTTTGCGAGAGTGACGTCACGGGAAAATATATCGAGACGCATCGCGCCGCCTAGATGGATGAGTTTGAAGCGCTCGCCAGAATCCGTCGGTTGAAACGAAAAATATAGCCATACGCTGAAAATACGAGAGTGTGATCATCATTTACGGATGTCATGAATCATATTTCTGCCGCTTCGAAGCATTCAGGGAATACTTCAAGTTTCGATTCTGTACCACGTTAAGTCATGGTGAAGTCAATATATCTTCAGTCTCTCCATTCGCCGTGCTCCGTCCGTAGGTTGCAGCCATTGGCTTTCCAATACGCTTTACAAAAACGTAGACGCTCCAGATTTCTTAAAGGGGTCATTAAAAGATTTTTGTCCTTTGCGCATATACCGCTTAGAAGCAATCCTTTAACGCTAATAACCTATGAAACACGAGTTCGTTTCTCACCACACACAATAGAAGTTGCAAAAAGAAAAGAAAGAAGAACGAGCAACGTCCACTTCCTCAACTCGCAGCCAGAACAAGCGGCCACGTGATCTGGAGCCGATTATATGCCGCCAATGTTGATCATAGCCACGCGCTGAGGTTGGCCAGGCACAGGACGCGCGCTGAGCTCCGAACATTCTCACTGTTCTGCTATTTTTGTTGTTGCCGCGATTGAACGCGGGCCACTACCCGAATGCTTGTCCAGCTATAGACGCTTTACACACGCGCCAAATTACAGCCGCCATTGCTGACCTTCTTTTGTCTTACCGAGAGGCCGAGCAACTGAAACGGTAGTTGACGATCCTGTACGAAGGCCGATGCTTTAGAAAAAAACACAGTTGAATCTAATATGGCAATAACCTGGCCTGTTATGGTAATGATGAAGTGAAATAAAGGGAATAAGAGGAAACAAAAACTGAAGGTCAGTTATGGCGGCGTCCATGCACAGCTGCTGCAAAGCGTCTATATTGCTCATCCTGAGCCCAAAGCGAGTGCCCACGAAATGCTCGGGTTCAATCAATGAGCCGCATTCAGATACCGTCACTGAAGGATACTTCGACCCCCACGCTACGTCATCACATTTTTGGAAAGGGGAGATTCGAAAAAAAAAAAAAAGCTCTCGCTTTTATTCTCGAAATTACACCGCAACAAAGCAGTTTCTTGGTCAGTGGCGTTGCGCGCGAGTATCCTGGAGTCCCACTAGTGCCTGTAAGCTCGTGTAATGGGGAAAAAAAAAAGAAAAACATTTTAAGCGAATATTGTTTCACGGCCCCTTTAAAGGGGAAAACTGACAGTATGCAAAAAATATAGGGGAACTTAAAAAAGATTCGAATTAAAAAGAAACGAAACAATTGCGAGTCACTTTATCGAGTAAATGACAGATATAATATCGCCCACCGTGATGTCTTTTCCTTCTCCGGAACCCGGTGAAAAACGAAGCACACTCCGCTATGCTTCACAGCCACGCTAAGTCCGAGCGCTGCCAACGAATCGATGCATCCAATCAAACGGAGCAAGAAAGGCAACGTCACGGCGCTAGTCGCTTTTGTGTGTTTGTTGTCATCGGCTGAACCAATTACGCAAAGAGCAAAACAACAACACCAGCAGAACAAGAAAAAAAGAAAACAAGATTACGGCTTATTAACTGTGCTATTGTCTCAGAAAGTAACATCAAACTCACTGAAGCAACCGGCACCGTGACGATGCATTTTTTTAAGCTGCTTGATCTGCTCAATCGGGTCGTAGCGTCATCTTGACGTGCAATACCGTGTATTCACCAATACAGTGTTTCCAAACAAGCTCCCTTTTACCCACACTAGATGCGGGCTCTACGGGTGAGCAGAAACCAAATTCAGGGAGAGTGAAGCGTTTTGCGCATGCGCAGTACCGACAGCAGCGCCACCTCAGGGACGTGACGTCAGAGAGTTGAGACGGTCTATAGCAAACAGCGCGTGGCGTTATCAGGTGACGCGAGAAAGGTGACGAGGCGTTTGTAAAACGCTGAGAGCGTTCGCGCTTCTTACGTCCGCCCTGACGTGGGCGCAGAAACAGTAAACTGAGCCGTAAAACGTAATGAAGGCCGGTGAATTTTGTACACGGCGAGCACTTCCGTAGGCGCGTATACGTCGAGGCTTCGTCGTAAATTCCTCATGCAGCAAGGAGAGCTTGACTTTCTATGTTATGGGTTTTGTCTTTAGCGTTTCGGGCAGACTCATGGACGTGTTCTTGGAAGAGATCGAGATTGGTGCGGTATATATGCCTCCTTGGAGAAAGTGACGTCTTGATTAAACCGAAGATTTATTCCTTCCAGAATAAATAACAGGAACACAAAATCAAAAACAACAAGAACAGAAGTTGGTAAGAACAATTGAGAAGAAAGCTTCGCCTTTGTGGTCGTTTCGATAAAACTAAGCCCGCCTTGGGAATCAACCTTTTTGGAAATACGTAGTGCATCCGTCTGCTTTGGGCATTATGGCGTTCAGATGTACGGCACGTGAAGTTATCTGAGAAGCGAAGACGAAGTTTGTGGTATGAAAGGACCTGCCACCTACTGAGCAACCTAACAACGAAGTTGACGCTGGTTTAACAGTTCGTGGTTTCATCAGAACCACAGTGTTATCAGAACGCAGAAAAGGCAAAAGGAAAGGAAAACAAAGCACGTGGTTACCTTTTTTTTTCGGTTAGCTCTACTTTTTTTGTTGTTGCTTGCTCTGAGCTTTTAATGATAAGAAAGAATGAATCATGCCGCTGCCAGGATATACAAAGTCAATGAGTCGGCACCGAGCGTACATCGAAACAGCATCGCAGTTCCCCTGGTTGCGAGGTTTCCCGAGATTTTCGGTAAAGGTCCACTGCCTTTGAGCGCGATGTGTTTAAACGGGCCTTTCGGGAAAATCAAACCCTTTTGTACCTCTCGTCAAACCGCCTTGCACCACGCCAAGCGGGCAATTGTGTGGCTGCTCTGATGTGCACTCGGGCCGGTGCTTACGCTCCATATGAACGTGGAAGTAGCTCAATTCCTTCTCCCTTACCACATCGAGTTCTGAACACAATGAAAACAAAGCGAACCCATCACAAAGATACACACCTTGTTTTTGTTATCGTCCCAATTTCTTTGCGTTCTGAAATTGCAAAATGGTAAAAGAAACATGTACCTCTCCTTCAATCTAGGGATGCTCCTCCACGCGCGGTCTATCGAATAGTCATAGTGGGTCGAAAAGATCATGGGAGGAGTTGCGCATTTCCGGAGTAGTCTATTCTGGAAGGATTAAAGCGGGGAAGGTATGCTCAGATCGTGTAGGCAAATTGGAATAAAACGTAGTCGAGTGCAGTGAACGAGTAGTCGTAACTCTCAATCAACGCTCGAGGCCGGCACAACGGTAGCCAGCAACTTTCTGGAACAAACCCGGCGGAACCCGACGGGAGCGTTGACATAGCTTCGTTCCATCAGCTGGCTCGTGATGGCAGGATGGCTCAAAATAACTGTGCCGTAAAGTACCACGGAACCGCCTACTTCGTTCAAGCGCTCACTGTAACCATTTCCCAAACTTGGAAATTCTGCAAATGATACGTTAATCGCCCGATTTGACCGGACAACCGCCCGTGTCTAAATCAACCCAGTTCTCAGTGAAAGTGGTGTGGCTGCTCCCCCGGTATTTTACGGTAATAGGCAAACAGGATTGTTAGAATTTTAACGTGACGGAAACATTTTTGTACTTTTATTAAAAACTAATTAGAATTAATTTTTCACGTTTAGAGTTGATCATTCACGGTCATGTCCCACAAAACACGCATGTTTTTTCTCTCTAAGCCGTTCTAATCGCAACAAAAAAGAAAAAAAAAACGAGCAGCGTTTATTTGCTCAACTCGTAGCTAGATCTATTAGATGTCGTGATTGTGCATCGATTACATATCTCCAATATTTATCACGGCCACGCGCAAAGGTTGGCGAAAGCACACGGTGCGTGCTTACTTTAGGCATTGTCGTGCTTTGGCTATCACCGTCATAACAGCGACTGGACGCGTGTCACTGCCCGAATGCTCGTCGAGATATTGATTGAGGCGAGCCCAAACGAAGTGCCTACACCGTGATCGCGTCCCCGGTCTATGAGCAATATTAAAGTATCGTCCCAGCAGCGAATACGCCATGACCAAATCAAAACCGCAATTCCCATTACTACGTCATCAAGTTTAGCGAAGAAGATGAAGGAAAAAGTTGGCCCTTGTCCTTGAAATCACACCGCTATGAAGAAGCTCCTTTGTAAGTGGAGCTCCGCAAAAGTCTACTCGGATCACAGTGGTGCCAGTAGGCTTGTGTACAGTGAGAAACCTTTCAGCTCAGTATGTTTGCTTGGCTCCTTTAACTGTCTGAAAAAAGGCAGGTTAGATAAGGAGAACACCGGAGGATCCAATATTACTTCTCCCCAAAGTGTTCTAGATAGCTACAAGGTGTTTGACCTCACCTTTAGGTAATACATTTGAAGACTCCGGTTGCTGGCATATCTCGAGAATGTTTTTATTTGCGTTAGACTGCTCAATCGCCCCTAAAAGTACTTGAGGATGTAGGAAGTCTCGTAGACTCTCCTGAGGAGAGGGTAGACACGGCCACAGGATCCTCGCACGTCGTCCAAATCCACGTCGACGACGCCCACGCAGAGGAAATGCCAGTGCCGCAGTACCTTGGCGATCTTCTCGAAGACCGTGAACTGGTCTTCGTGCGTCACCCAGAGGTCGCCTTCTGAGGAGTAGGCGGCGTCGTCTTCGACCGTTTTGGTTCTGCCAGCACGCTCGTCGCATGTCTCCGAGAAGGAGATCTGTCAAACAGAAACACGACGAAAGATGCTTAAAAGTTCGAAAAAGAAAAAAAAAAAAAGAAAAGAGACAGTGTAAACTAAAAAAAAAAAAAAATGAAAAACGTTTACAATCCCCTGCAACGCCGAATTAGAGCGCAGCGTTTGAGGAGGAGGAGAAGGTACGGAGAGAAAGCCATGCTCTTCCTCCTGTCCTGCCAGCCTCCCATTTAGGAAAAAATTTCCCCGCTAAATTTAGTGGAAAAAAATTCCCGCTAAATTTAACGGAAACATTTTCCCGCTAAATATAGTGGGAAAAATTCCCCGCTACATTTAGCGGGGCAATTTTCCGCTAAATTTAACGGGAAAGTTTTCCCCTAAATGTAGGGAAATTTTCAGCTAAATTTAGAGGGAAATTGTTCTCACTAAATTTAGCGGGAAGATTTTTCCTCTAAATTTAGCGGGGGAAATTTTCCGCTAGATTTTGCGGGGAAATTTTCTTGCTAGATTGAGCGGTGAAATGTTTCCGCTAAATTTAGCGGGAACATTTTTGCGCTAAACCTAGCGGGGAAATTTTTCAGCTAAATTTAGTGGGGAAATTCTTCCGCTTGATTTAGCGGGGAAATTTTCCTGCTAAATTTAGCGGGGAAATTTTCCTGCTAAATTTAGCGGGGAAATTTTTACGATAATTTTAGCGGGGAAATTTACCCATAATGCACCGCGCGGTTACGCCGACCATAGAGTTGTTATAAAGTATGCTAGAGGTTCAACTGGCGCTAGTGTCTATGGGACTTCCGTGACGCAAATTGAAGCAGACAGCAACCAGTCTACTTCTGCGGTGTTCCTGTGCATTCCTATGGGAAAACGCGCGTGCATTTTGTCTCTTCGCCGGAAAATAACACGGAGCACTTTGGTTATTTGGGTCGTATCAAATAGTATGTACCTTACTTAACATTGTAAAAGTGCAATTGCTTTAGTTAGCGCATTTTTCTTCATCAGTGATCGATGTCCAACTTCGCTACATTTCAATCCCAAACGTGTGTTCCGCAGCAGGTGTTTAAAAACAAGCGACGATTCAAAGCAAAATTACAATCGAAATGAATATAGAGTGTGTTCATGGCTCTCCAGCATTCCGGTGACGCTTACATATTGATAATGTGCCAGTCCTGTCACTATATGAAAATGACCCCGTCGTGCATGAGGGGATAAAAGCATTCAAAACGAAAATAATAAAGTACTTGGCTGTGAAAGGTGTCTCTCCGTATTGTTTCATCTACAGGGAAGCTTTTATCGGGCACTTGTTCTCAAAGATTTCGAGCGTGCGGGTGATATTTTTAACTTAGAACATGCATCTTCGCACAGAGCAGAACGAATAAAGCGGTACTTACTTATTTAAAATCGGAATATATTACGTGGCCTTCAATTTATTTTGATAGTACATGCACGGGTAGTGGCTGATCTAGTGTTACTGCGTAGTTCTTGCCGCCTCCCTTAATTTCCAGATGTCTTTCGTTCGTTTGGCACGTATATTTCCCATGCTCAAAAGCGCCGACATGGTGTTCGCGCTAACAGTGTCCGACAGTGCACACAAATACACGTACGAAGCCGTTTTAGCACTCTTATGATCGAGCGCAGGGAGAAAATGCACTCACTCTTTCCCATAGAAATGCATTACCGGAAGTCAATTTCGGACTGGTTGCTGTCTGCTTCAATTTGCGTCAGCACACTAGCGCCAATTGAACATCTAGCGTACATTATAACAACACTGTGACGCCGACGACGACGGCGACGGCGACGCCGACGCCGACGCCGCTCAAGCCGGAAACGGGCGACTAAGAGCTGCGCTCTAAAAAAAAAAAAACATGAGCCATTCCATTCTGCGAAGGTAAATGACCATCGAAGCTGCCTACCACACGACAAAGACGCGCACACGCGCGACGGTACCCCCATTCTGGGAGAGCGGAAGGAAAGGAAGCTAGGCACTCAAGCGCTTGGAACGACGGCAAAGAGAGGGCGCTGCGAGCGTAGACATGGCCGACGCGGGTCGCACATCCACAAATCTTTGATAAATCTTTATTGTCTACCTGTGAGTCTACTGATCTGGAAAATGGTGCCTATTGCTAGCTAATCTATTAAAAACGCATATCCAAGTGATGAGACGTATAAGCGCAAAGAATGAAGCGGATTTGCATCGAATTCGGGACCTGGGCTTTTGTTGACGCACATGAAAACTCCACGGAACCCTTGCCATAAACAGGTTCGCTGTAAAAAAGGCAAAACAAGGGGCGTTCAAAATACAAACCTGTGCCATTGAGTTTAGCGTTAGTCAGACACAAGCTCTTTATCATAAATCATAACTGATAAGTATATTAATAGATGGTGCAAGCTGAGGCAATAATGGCGAAAAGCGCGCGCTTCGTCACTTTTTGGCGTTTCCTATTGACAGCCTTGTGATTGTTTTGAGATTTTCACTCACGTGAGCAAATTTATGATTTATATTTGTGTGCAATCTGGCACTTTTCTCCCCAGCTTTTATGTTGATGTCAGTGCAGTACCGCTGAGATAGACTTGTACGTTTACTGTTAACAGGATATTAACCAAATTGTTGACCTTTCGTTCTCATTTTTTTTAGAAACAGTTTGGTATATATTTTGGCCTGCATTTTTATGTCGCAAATAAGAAATAAACAAATAAATAATTCTAGTCTCACTTGTTATGGTAACAGCTTGGGCGAGTTGGGTGCTTATATTAACATGCACTACAGCGCTCACTGCACACGCTCACCGTTTACTGTTTATTGTCACTATAGGCTCACTGTTTATTGACAGCCAAAACATTAATAGACCATTATGAAAATACATGGCGCCACCACCGTCTGCTTGTTGCATTGTTACGATTTGTTGTACGGCACGTTGGTTTGTTTTTCTTATTTTAGAACGCAAAGTAAGTAGAAGGAAAAAAAAAAACAGACACTGAGTCTTACGCCGCAGAAATAACCTGGTCACATTCTTGGTATTAACGTTATACTTTGGTCCAATCAATGAAATTCTAATTGCCGCTTATAAATTGGTACCTTGCTGTCTTCTTTCCCACCTATAGTACACAAAGCTCTAACCCTCCTCACCTACGTTGGTAAACTTACCCTGTTAAATGTAATGAAGAAATGAATTAAATTAACGTCACACAGTAATGCAGTTTTAAAGCGGTCTCCTGTGCGACACTGATTTCAGGGCACCGGTATTAGCAAAGCTGAAAGCGTATTTGCAGGATTGCGCTTCGCTACAAGTTACTATGGCAACCAAGTACTGCGTTGCTTGATCGCCGTTAAAGATTACCGTCGTATCTGTACGTAAGCTCCTGCAATGTGGTGATGCGTGGTCAAATGCTACTGCGTAAACTGGCCTTTATAACACCATAGCTCACGAGGGTCGGGTTTTCCTCTGCTCTGTGAGGAAGTAGAAGATAGATTGCAATGAGCCTGCGCATTCACGGAACAGACCTGTTTAAACGGAGACACTACAAAAAAAAATCTGCAAACAAGTAAATGTTTATACAAATGCCATAAGGCATCCGCCAACATCTAGAGAGTATTCTCAGAAAGCTTCATTTGTTTAGACTGCGTAGTTATTTTTGAATAATTATTTTCAGTTCACTAATGGACTTTAAAAAAAGCTCGTGAGTCTGCCTTCCCGCACAACACTCGAGAGCCAATTACCGCAACTTATGGAGGCAGCTGAGCGAATTACAGTGCCGAAACATATGTTTGGACCAAAAAACGCAGTCTGAGTTGTGACGTTAAGCATTGCAAAACTTGCATTGCTTGATGGCACAACTCAGACTGCGTTTTTGGTCCAAACATATGTTTCGGCACTGTAATTCGCTCAGCTGCCTCCATAAGTTGCGGTGATCGGCTCTCCAAGTGTTGAGCGGGAAGGCAGACTCACGGGCTTTTTTTAGAGTGTGCTAAATAAAAGGTAGAGGTTCGAGCACTTTAAACGCTTTTATATCCATTCCATTTTTTGGCATAGTCACTAAATAAATATATATCGTTTCAGTACGAAACTATCGGGAGGCGTAATTTTTGTGTCTTATATACCGACATTTTATGGGGCAGATTATTATGAACTTAGTTTTCTGCATTTTAACGTTCCTTTGTTACAAAAAAAATAATAATTTGCGAGGCTTGGCAAATGTGGGAAAATCTTGTTTTCTCATTAATTTTTGTTTAGCTGAAAAAATATTGTTTTCTGAGTAATTTTATTTTAGTTGAAAATAATCCTATTTTGTGAAAATCTTTTCTATAGGAATCGACAAAAGGTATTCCAGTATGTATTCCACAGGAAAAAAAAAGTGGTTGGCAACACCATTTCTTAACGATAGGTTCATTGAGCAGATTCCATGCAAAGCAATGCTTAACTTCGTTCCGGGGGTTGAGTACCTCATAAAATTGATTCACCGGGCTGAAACTTTGCACGCCCTCCTTTTATGCAGCTACAAACACCGCCTGCAGGTTTCACGCAGATTTAGTGAACGGATCAAAAGTTAATATTCCCAGGTAGCGTCCTCCCTTAAAGTCCTAACAGTCCAAGCAGGAGGTGCTCAACGAATTATGGGAATGTCCTGTAGAACCTTCATAGCTCCAGTAGTCTCTACCAAGTGACACTGAAGTGAGCGAGCGAGAGAGGTTCATATGAAGGGTGAGTAACCCTGTTGCTTGCTTGCCCCCGCCTAGTCGCTGGCGTAGCCCCCGCTGTCTGCTACAGCCGACTGTGTGCAGACAGTTCTCAAGAGCTCGTTCTGGCACCGGTGAAGGGCGCTGGACGCATTGCAAAACGGTTGCTCGCAGAGTTCGTAAGACTTTGCTTGGGCAACGGTTGTGGGGGCTCCCATGATCAGCGAAAGCTTACACGCTTGAGAGGCTCCGACTTGATTGGGTCCCCAACTCCGTGCAGTAATGGCGACTGTAGCGTGAAGCCAATCCCCGATAGCGAGATAGTGAAGCAGGTCCTCTTGTTCAGACCAAACTCCAGCTCCTCCAGCAAGGACATGACGGTTTTGACGTTTGATCTGCAACGGGGATATTGGGCTCGTCTGTCGCCACGGTCTGAATTGTGGGTATAATAAAAAAGACAATAACTGGCTAATTGCAAACCTTTGATTGTGCAATGCACATTCAGTGGATGGAACCGACCTAAAAATGTTACAGATCAGTTTGGCATGCTCCGACGTTTTAATGTACCACGAAGATGAGGATGAATGGTGCATTTGCAATTTTATAAATTTCGAAGTGCAAACTTGCCTAAATCAGATTTTAAAACCGAAAGACAAAGATTTCTTCTATAACTGCGTATGCAGTTAAGCATTTTTGGACCAAAAGAAAAATTATTTCCATGGGACATTTTGGGGCGTTTTCGTGGACAAAGAAGGGCACGAGTGCATACCCATAATTATTTCCTCCCCACTCTCTTTCTTTGTGTTAAAACAAGCTTCCCATACTCCCACAGCATATTTTCCCCTTTAAATAGACACCAGAAAGGGTTAGCTCTTTTTTCGTTTACACGAAGGTTATGGTTCTTAGTTCTAACTTTTGACTGAAACAAGTTTTCTCTTATACATTTTCAGTAAACAAATGCACTACCGATCCGCATTTTTCTTACAAATTATCTGGCGTCGGAACATGCAAACTTTATACCTTCAGAGCTAAAAAAGGTGTGCCCTGTGGTACTCAGCACGGTGAAACGTTATGTCCAGTGACAGAGAGCAATTTGTCTTTCTAGCTTTAAACATAATATCAGCCTTGTCAGTTGCCCTGCTCCCTTTGTAGATCGCAGCGATTCGCTCTCCCAAAGTAATTTTCGCGCAATGTTCGTATGGTGGGAGTAGTAGTTCTTACAAAATTGGGTCATTGAAGGAAGAAGCGATGCTTTTGGTGTTTGAAGCATATGCGTCTCGATAAGAAAGCATATGCCCCGATGAGACAGCATATTCTCTATATAAAGGGAAACATTAGTAATTCTCCTCGAGGAACCGAACTTTTGTTGAGGATAGACACCCCAGATTTCTTGACGTGTAACGTCAAGGGCATCCTGTTCTCGCTAAATTTAGCAGGCAAGGTTTAGTCTTACATTTCGCGAGGGAAGTTTTGCTATTTACATTTCGCTACTACTTGACGTCGCTACCAGGGCCCGTTTGCTCGAAGCGCTAACCGCGGCTAAAGTTAGCCGCAGTACCTAGGAGAGGGATTTTTTTTAATCACGTGACTGGCTCGGTAGGGATGCGGGGAAACATGGCGGTGCCACAGGGAGTGAGCGCCGCTCGCTTTGGAAATATTATGTCGTTGTAGCTGCAATATCGGGCGCGTTAGTCAGCAACGAATGGTGCAAGATGCTTTTGCTTTGCTTTACCTCACTTAAACCGCAAAGCATGGGCAATGACATCGCCGCATTTTCTAGATAATCTTTGGATTCTGGGCATTCCTAAGCCTAAATGAACGCGATAATTGTCGCCATGGCAACGCCTTTGCAAAGCAGACTGTTGATAGCACACAAAAGCAGACAGCGTCCCAACAGACCTCTTTTTCTAAATTATCCAACCACCGAGGTGCATGCTACGACTGTATAGTTGCACGCGTCGCACGTTCTGGCGTCTGCAGCATTAACCGTTCTAAAGCAAAAAGTATAAAACACATTTTGCCTTGCACGCGCGTTCGTTAGAGCCTTATCATGATTATTTACTTCGAATCTGTTATATGAGGAAGACCAGCGCGCGATGACCGTAGAATTATACTTCCAGCGTTCTACTCGCGATGCTTGGATAATGGACCTTTTGTAGAAATACGCGGTGCGCATGCGCGGAGTATTTGATGCGCCTGGGTTCGAGAGTATCTAGTTCTAAACAATCCGCCATCTTGCGTTTCTAGCCTTTGCGCGCCTTGGAGACCATTGAGACTCAAGTTTCGATGTTGCGAACAAGGTGAACACGAGTCATCGTACTGACGACGCCCGTTCTAGATTACGACGTGCACCGCAATCATGCCGGTGAACTGTGTAGTTTTCGGCTGTCGGAACTATTATCGCCCGGGTTGTGGAACTAGCTTTTTTGGCTTCCCGTGTGCTAAGCTTCATCCCGATAAGCGGGTAGCCTGGAATCGTGCCGTCAGGAGAGTTGACAAGTCCGACCCCTCGAAGAACTGGAAGCCGAGTCAGCTGTCCAGACTATGTAGCGCCCATTTTATTACAGGTAAGGTCACTTCCAATTTTTGCAAGCGATAGAGCTTTGCGAAGTGCGGCGGTGATCACAGCCGGCGTTAGACAAGGCACACCCGGACTATGTCCCTACACTGATTAGCTACTCGCGTCCACGGCCGTCAGCCCTCGGTCGGTTTCAACACTGGTCCTCCAGATCATCAACCCAAGGTGAGAAACTTTTGTTGGAAATCAGGTCAGCTGAACACGAAAAAACAAGGACACGATGAAAGAACTGGACAAAGAGAACGCTATCAACTGAATTTTACTTTGTCTTCTTCCCGGCCTAGGCCCTTTTTTTCGTTCTTTTTCTTCGTCTAACGGCAGAATAAACTGTTATAAAAACCTTTTAGCCTAGTATTTAACGGGGTGTGGCAGACCGCAATATTCTTTTTTTTTCTTTGGTGGCCAAGGCCTCCAGCACTTCACGCGCAAAGGAGTTCTTGTTCCTATGAAGGACGGTTATGCTGGTGAGCTCGGCATCGCATCCACAGGTCCGGCAATGAGCTGACAAATGTCCTGTTGATGTGCTTCTCACCGAGGCTGCGTGCTCAATTGCTTTATCGTTTATACATCGGCCAGTTTGGTCGATGTATAAATGCGAGCAGCGAAAGAAAACTAAGAGCAGCAAAAAGAAAACGAACCGGTAGCACACAAGAAGCCTAACGTGGACGTTGTTTTCTCTACAAATACTCTCCAATCCAGTGCGCCTCAGGTTCGCCCATCACCCCATAGGTGGCAGCATATATTCGCCAAAAGGTCCATTTAGAAGAAAGTCTCCTGGGACGCTGTCTGCTTTTGTGTGCTATTAATACCCGGCCGATTGGGTCAAGGCAATCCGCTTTCCAAAGACGTTGCCATGCCGACAATTATCGCGTTCATTTAGGCTTAGGAATGCCCAGAATCGAAACACTATCTAAAAAATGCGGCGATGTCGTTGACTATGCTTTGCGGTTTAAGCGAGCTAAGGCAAAGCGAAAGCCTCCTGCACCATTCGTTGCTGACTGACGCGCCCGATATTGCAGCTACAACAACATATTATTTCCAAAGCGAGCGGCGCTCACTCACTGGGGCGCCGCCATGTTTCCCCGCATCCCTACTGAGCCCAGTCACGTGATTTCAAAATCCCTCTCCTAGGTACTGCGGCTAACTTTAGCCGCGGTTAGTGCTTCGAGCAAACGGGCCCAGGTTGCGTGACACCGGCAAACTTATTCCCCGTTTAAGTGAGTTTCGTGGGAGCCCAAATATCTTGTAAAGAGGCTCAAGGAATGGGACTACTGTCCGTCTTCGGAGTCTGGAAGACACATATAGGTGAACTGAAGTTCTTTGATAAAAGACGTCCTTCGTGCTCCCTACAGGTAACACAATGCATTAAAGGCGCGGCTGTGGGAAAGGTGCGACTTTTAGGAAGGAACTTGCGGTATACAGCAGAAGGAAGAAATGAAAGACGCCTTTTTCTTTGTTCAAAATGGGCTTAGTCATTTGTATTGGCTATTACTACTAGGGTAGGGTCACTAAACTTCAGTGTAGGAGGCGGGACAATGGGAAAGAGAGAGGGCAGACGCAGAAGCTGGTATTCAGTTCAACATAAAAACGCACACCTTTCTGGTCTCCTTCCTTAAGAACGCAGACTTCTTTTTTAAGCAACTTTTATGCATTGGGGAAGAGATGCTTCCATTCCATCTCCAACTTATAATTCAGGGGTGTCATAAATGGCAAATAATTTTAAATTAATATAAATATAAATCGCTATCTTTTTACCGTAGTTCACATGTTCTATCCTCCTTTTACCACCTTTCTAGCATCCCAGTAACTGCTTGTTCATCGTATAAATATCCAGGAATTCATCTGACATCTCACCTGTCATGGACCACTCACATAAAATCTGTCATCGCCGATGCTAACCGCACTCTCAGATTTCTTCGCCGTAACCTCAGACAAGCTACATCGCCAGTAAAAAAAAAAAAAAAAAAACTAGCTCATACTACCTTGGTCAGAACTAAACTAGAATTCGCTTCTTGCATATATGGTCACACTGGCAGGCATACCTAATTATACCCCGTGTCACTAGTTACGTGCAGTACGGGCGAAGGAAACGCCAAGAGAGGGGAGAAAGGGCAAGCACTAGAAAGGCTGGGGTAGAAGAGAGAAACCTCCTCTCCTCTCTAACGTTCCTAGTGCTCTCCCTTTCTCCCTCACCCTTCAGTGTCATCCTCTCCCGTTCCGCCTTCCTAGTGGTCGCCCTTCCTGTCTTCGACTGGCGTTGCCTTCGCCTGCACTGCACACAACTAGTGACGCGTAGTATAACAACCTGGAATTCGTTCAAAGCAGAGCCCTCTGTTTTATTTATTCGGTTCTTCTGTTTTATTTATTCCCCTTACGCAAGCACATCAGTATTTCGCCAATCATCCAACCTTGACACTCTTTCTCACCGCCGCAGGGTGTCTCGTCTTTCTCTTCTTCATCGGATCTTTTATTACAACAGTCATCTCAGACAGAGTTTGCTATCGCCTTCTTACCGCATTTTCCCTCGTCTCGACCATTCTTGTAAAATCTGTCCAATTTCATCGTCAACCGTCACTCACCAAATGTCCATTTTACCATTGGCCATTGACGACTGGAACTCACGGCCTGACTTAATTGTTTCCTTATCTGCCACTAAGAATTTTTTTAAAGCCATTACCTTATTTTTTTCCTAACCTAAAACTAGATTGCGGCGTGTTTTTGTTGATAAATAGTCGTGTTATTTTTTTTAGGTGTTCATTTCCTTGTATAATGCCCCCTGGACCTTCAAGGAATAATAAATTATGATGATGAACCGAAGCACGTGGAATTCGGTAATATAGAAGTTTCCCGTACACACGACCATGCGAACATACTATACACTTCATGGTGTACAAAAATATTATGACCACCCGTACATTGCGGGAATGAGTGGGCCTAGCTGACGTGTCATCCGCGTTTTCTGTAATCTTCTGCGGATGATGGTTAACGGCTGCCAGGGAGACAGTGTATCATTTTGACGACTCTGTGTGCGTGTAATAGAACACACTGCTGATTTAAGCCACTTTTACAAAGAGTAGATCGTGATGTCAAGATCACTGCAGACCAGATAAACCCATTCATGGCTTTTCTTTCCCGCAGCAACCGGAATTTCCCATCAGGAACACGCTTTATGCCACTAGGCCAAAATTGTGCTAGACTGCAGGACTGAAGAGAATGATGAAGAATTTCACTTAATGCCCTGGCCAGCTAATTAGTCATCAGTCCTATTCAGCACATCTGATATGTAATGTGCCGCAAGCTCAGAGCTCAATGACCACTTTCTCGTAATCTACAGTAATTGCGCGACCTGCTCGTACAAATCTGGTACTATCTTACTCAAGGCACTGACCAAGGACTTGAAGAATTTATGCCAAGATGGGTTGCAACGGTTTTGCGTGCCAAAGATGAATAAACAGGGTGTTGGGTGGGTTAAAGAGTATAGCAAGGGTAACCAACTCGCCCATCAGATTATTATAGTTCAATTCCTTTCTTCTACAATGGACTCTTTTCAGTGTTTATCCCCCGTGGACGCCGTTTTTTCGAAAAATAATTTAATCGTCATATCTGTGTGTAGAACAATATCCCGTTCTTTCGCCATCAAACATCGTGTGGTGCTTGACAACATCCCGGAATTTCAGCGCTTGTCCTGTCTACGTCTTTCACTTGTCCTTGTCCTTTGTGCTGCGGTGTGTATTATGTTGGGTAGGTGGTCATAATGTTTTGGGTGTTCAGTGCATAGTGTCGTATAAAACCGCAAAAAGAGCTCAAAATTGTACCTTATGGTAGGTAGGATCTTCATGGAAAGTTTTGTTCTTTCAAAATTACAGAACTTGTGCGAATACAGGTTTGAATAGAATGGCCCAGCGTTAATCCAGATTTAACGCTGTTAAGAATACCGGTTCTTGTGGCTTTCTCTTTCACTGCGAAGGCCACGTATGAGGAAGTGTTTTTAGATTCCAACCAGAAATCGCACGCCCCTAAGAATTACGTCACTAACGAGTAATACTTTTTTCAAGTGTCCTTCACCCACTAAATGCCTTCGCAATTATGCACGTTCGCAGAAAAACGGTGCAGGAGGCTTCGTTGATGTCAAATGACGGTACGGCAGAAATAAACCTCTAAATTGGGACTTCCCTATATCCCCTATATTAAAAAAAAGTATCAAGGGACTTCAGGATGTACCTTCGGTGGACAAGACCAGCGTCGTTGAGGGGCGCTGCCAGCTGCGTTCTTCCGGCTGGTTCGTCCAGCAATCCGTGAGTCCTGACGAACACGAAGTCCAGCAGAGAACGGAGATCGTCCTTGAGGAGGAGGGTGGCCCCGTACGGAAGCATGGCGCACAAGGTCAGGTTACCCCAGCGGCTGTCCTGACGCACGCTTGTGAAGAAGGCCACTGCACCTTTGGCAGCGTCAAGATTCCCCTACGCAGCGGGTATTCGGCATCCGTTACAACTGGGCTTCCCTGTTTTCGGTAGATACCGTTGGACTTCGAGAAATGACCCCCGAAAACGTTTTATCAAAAGTAGAAAAAATGAACAAAGCCGAATTCGAGCAGTTCTGAATATAAAAGGCCCTAGGAAGAACGCACCAGAATGACCAAACTTGGACACAATAATGTTTTTCGTCAAAACGTCCGTGTTGTGTAAAATGTCTATTATTTGGCTTTTTATGACTTTTTTTTTGGTTATCCGCATAATAGAGTACCTGACATGAACGAAAGATGCTATGTATCAACCGAACAACCAACAGTGAAACCTAATTCCGGCACTCTTGGTGCAGGGGGCAACAGGCGTCGTCACCTACATCACAAGCCTCACGTCCGCTGCTGCGGCTCTAGCATTCAGTAGACTGTAGTTAAAATGTGCAGTTTGTATACTTTGAAGCCTATTCACCCAGCTGCGTTTGAGTCAGAAAGTTGAACCGGTCATTATTCCGGTTCAGTTCGGTTTCGGATCCAGTACGTTTTTTTTTATTTGCTTCCGGTTGAGTAGTCAATTCAAACTCCCGGTTCGGTCACCGGTTTCACTAAGCGCTAACCGGTTGAAACTGAAGTTCATTCATGTCTTAAAAGTAGCGCAAGGTGCGTCATGGCGGCACAGCGCAGCACTGAACTGGATTTCATACGCCATGCTCTTCCTAGAAGTGGCGCGCGGTACGTGTCTCGAGCATTTCCATAAAAATTGATGGCGTCACGTTTCTCGGGAGTGAGGGGCTCTAGTTCAAACTGGTTCTTAAAAAAAAGTTTACAGCTCCCAATCGTTGAGAAAACGTGTTTAAAGCGGCGTCATTTGCATTAAACAAATTGATCAGTCCTATGCTAATCCAAAGTATAGTAACAAAGATATCTGCAACACGTCACAGCAAAGTCGTTGAGCATCGGCGTCGCGTTCTCTAGGCGTGGGGTGCGTGAACAAAAGCGCTCTAAACGAAATAGGCATCTGACCATTTCGTTCTCAACGCTTTGTTTCTTTTTTGTTCCCCAGAGTATGAACACTTGTCTCACTGCGCGAGCTCAAGGCATTGACAGTGCTACGGCCCAATTTTGTTATTTCTTCGTATTTTTCTAGAGAGCGCGTGCAGTGCAGCCTCCTATATACTGACAAGGCCTGGCAGATCGCCACGAGAAGCGGTCGCCGAAATGGAAAAGGTGGAGCGGCAGACTACTGATGAGAGGAGAGCCACGTCACTGGCGCCCCGCTGTGGCGAGACCCCGAAACACACTTCTTCCGAGCGAACAAATGTGCTTCGGGTCCTCGCCACTGCAAAAGCTGTGCGCTGACGTCCAGGCTCCCCGAGAAATGGCTCTTTGATGCTCAGTGCTACCAGATCCTCGCGCTCCAAATATGCGACCGGGCACTCTATGGCTCCGTCGTTGAACTGCCAGGCTTTGTGAGCATAGAGGAGGCTATGGTACTACATTTTCCAAACGACTTTTTTTTTGTTTCTTTTTACAGCGATAGCTGTTATGTGCTCTCCCCACCAAAAAATGAAAGCCGTTTACAGCTCCCTGTAACACCGAATTGGAGCGCAGCTCTTGAGGAGAAGGAGGGAAGGGTACTGAGGGTTACCTGTTCTCGGGGCGGGGGGGGGGGGGGGGGAGGGGTGTCGCGTGACCTCGGGGGGGGGGGGGGGGGGGGTCATGTGACCTTGGGGGGTCACGTGGCCCCCAGAAAACTTTTTCCGCTAGATTTAGCGGGGAATTTTTCCGCTAGATTTAAACGGGGAAATTTTTCTGCTAGATTTAGCGGGAATATTTTCCGCTAGATTTAGCGGGGAATTTTTTCCGCTAGATTTAGTGGGGAATTTTTTCCGCTAGATTTAGCGGGGAATTTTTCCCGCTAGATTTTTCCGCTAGATTTAGCGGAGAAATTTTTCCGCTAAATCTAGCGGGGAAATTTTTCCGCTAGATTTAGCGGGAAAATGTTTGCGCTAGATTTAGCGGGGAATTTTTTCTGCTAGATTTAGCGGGAAAATTTTTCCGCTAGATTTAGCGGGGAAATTTACCCATAATGCACCGCCCGGTTACGCCGACGGCGACGGCGATGGCGACGGCGGCGGCGACGCCGACGCCGCTCAAGCCGGAAACGGGCCCCTAAGAGCTGCGCTCTAATAAAAAATTGGGATGTGTGTATGTTTATATACATCCTAGAACTTGGTCTGCCAGTAGATGAGAAATTTAGACAGTGCAGTACAACCGCTAGCCGGGGGTGTTTCACGTGCATCACGAAGTAGTGATACACGACTGCATGCCTTTACGATGCTTATCCAGATCGAAACGGGCAGGGGTGGGGATTGAACCCAGGATCCCGGGTTCTGCAGTGCGAGCTCTCACTCCACGTGCTCCGAGTTGGTGTGCGCTAGCCCACTCGGACACCGATCCCCCCGCTCTCCCGACCACTGGAAATGACATTTGTTGGTGATGTTGTAGTTGTACTAGTACTTAGTTGTTTATGTAGTAGTTGTAGTTGTTGTTGTATTTGGCGATGTAGGGCGTCCGTCGTCGATAATGCCTAGTATGCGAAATTACATGGCCGCCGCCCTCAAGAATACCTGAGTCGACTGCGTGGGAAGAGGAGTCGTTAGCTCTAAGCTACGCCAAAGTTTATTCTTGTTTTCTGTGGTATTTACTGCATGAGAAGATGACAGGACAAACGGACAAGCATAGAGTTGAAAATGGTTATCCCCTATTAAATAAAAAATGTAATTCACTAGGTATTCTTCAGATCAAGGTTTTGCTATCGGTTTACACCCGGAAGACTGAAAAAGGAAGAATTTCATATATAATAACGTTACTAGAAGTCAGAAAGGTCGAGGCACCTGTCAATGAGAGAATACTAATCTGGGCGTTCGTGAAGGGGAAGCTGAAACACTCCTTAAAAAAATAAGGTAGAGGTTGATTTTAGCGTAGTTTTACCACGTGAGCCTGAATATCACGTTTGGTTTTCCCGAAGATGAACCTAACCACGAGAAAACGCGAAAGATCTCCGACCAGTCGCTGCGCTATGAGATAGTGGCACTATTCAATATTGTGTAATTGCTCGGGACACGTGCCGCGCGCCACTTCTGGGAAGAACATGGCGTCTGAAATCTAGATCATTGCCGCGCTGTGCTGCCATGATCCTCTCAAGGGCTGCACGTTGCACGTGCCTCTTTGCACCGACGCACCTTGCGCTACGTTTGAAGCATGAAAGGGCTTTACGGAGTATGGGTGTCAGTCGCGCTCATCGCTGCTTCGCCTCCTGGCGCCTCCAGAATTTGCCACCAAGAACAAAGACGTCGACAGCCGTCGACGTTTTTGCTATTACTTTGATGTTTGCTTTCTTTCTCCTTGGGGAATATTGCTTAGTAGCAGGGAAGTAGAAATACTCCCTTCCCCCCCCCCCCCTCCCCCCCACACACACACACATGAAACACACAGATAATTGCTCTTTCGACTCTTGGCATAGTCAGATAATCTCCGTTTTACCTTACGATGTTCCACAATCGGACGCTGCGCTCTACCCCCAGCAATCTAGGGCTATAGCTTATCACGTGACTTCACACTCCGCGTTGCCCCGCCCTACCGGAAGGGCACGTCACACCCTCCAAGCTACGGATGGGCTCCGGTGTCTCGCAGCGCCCTTTCCGGTCCATCGTAAGGTGAAACAAGGATTTAGAAGTGTGCGCCAATGCGCCGACTCGCCGACGCCGAGTCGTACGTCACATAGGCGTGAAATATTTTAGTTTGTTTCATTATTATTGAGCCGTCTCTATGTCGTCGCCTTTTGTTAAGTCAGAACGGCGGCGTTGATGCCACCGCCGGGAATAAATATTTGACTTGGCGCTAACGTAAGAACGAACGGCTCGAATTTTATTGCACTGAATCGTTTATCGATAAACCGGTAGCCTCCACGTAAGGTTGCGGTTCCGGCTGTGTTCCGGTTTGGTGAAAAACAACGGTCTTGCTCAGGTTTTCCGCTCGGGTTTGGGTTTGGTTCGACACCCTGGTTTGAGTGTGTTTCTCCGCGCTTCAGGAAGGAACGGAAGCGAGACACTGGCACATCTGCAATTCGTGCGAAAAGAGCAGCTTAGCACACGACATACGAAGCAGATATGTCCCGGTTTCTAGGAACCGCAACACTGTCAAACGCGCACAAACGCTGTCCAACACAACTGTGTGTATGGACCTTTAGGGTACCGTTCTGCGCCACTGAACGTTGCTGCACAGAGTGTTGCAACGGGCGGCGGAGAGGTCGGGCCAAACAAAACATGCTCGAAGCCGCTTGTTTTTGATCGCTTTGGAGTGGCCACCCTTACAATCGCTGGAGTGGGGTCGGCGTGCTCGGCGATAAGCCCGGCTACACCCTCGACCTTCGACCACGCCATTTCCTTATTTGTGCATCCGGTACTCCTCAGTAGCCTTGATGCAACTATACGCCGTTCGGCGCTTAGCTGACAGGGTGGCCAACGTTATGCGCCCGTTGATCCAATAGTGCGTGGATCCTTCGCTGCCTGATGGCGCAGTCGTCCGTGCCCACGCGCCGAGAGTGGGGCCAGGTGATGAAAGGGAGGTGGTTGATTGGTACGGCAAGCGCGTAGTCCCCATCGCCCCGTTAGCTTGGACGTGAACGGAGCATACCAAAGCGAGAGTCCAAGCGACATAATGGTAAACGTTGTATGCATGCCTATAAGAAAAAAAAATATATATATATATATAGCTACATTTTTAGTCGTCTAATTTGAGCACTGTTTGCCAACAGGGTCTGCTCCTATCAAGGTACTCGGCGAATATGTGGAATGATTGGATGAGCGCGTGCACTGAGAGGAAGCGAACATTCAGGCAATGTTGCGGGGCCGTATTTGCCACTCCAATTCTTTAGACGTGGCGCCACTCGTTTTCCGAAAAGGCGGTTATAGTGAGGGTCGAAGGTGCGCGCCAGTC